GAAACTTGGCCGTTTTGTGTTGTTTTTGGGCTGGAGGCTGGAGGTCTGCTTTGCAGATCAGGACATGTGACATGTTTGATTTAAATACTGTATATGGTACCTTTTAGCGCATGTACCAAGAGGTGAAACAACATAGATGTGGAAAACCGCCATGGTTGCACCTTCGGAAAGTGATCTACATTCATGGTGGGATTTTCCACATCGAACTGTTAGTGTATGGGAGGATATGGCTGAAACATGGGTAACATGTTTTGACCATTTTCACCATTTGCTAATCTACAAGTCATCCACGGGGCTTTTGAGATCCACCCTGGGAGAAAAAGTAGCTGATCAGTTCATTTCATAGATGAGATTGAACATGTCGATCAAATAGTTCAAACATATTGTCGAAACATGGGCACGACAAATGTATAAACAATTATAGAGAGATGTATCAGGCATAGAGATGATTCCAATATGTGTTTCACGACCTTTCAGATGAAGATTCTTTCCCACCGCCTAAAGTCACCAGCTGGATTAGAGACATCAGCTGTCCAATGGTTGGGAGGGAGGTAAGAAGCTAAGGATCTATTGACATCCATATTCCCTATGAATTAAGTTTTTGTTTTTTTTTAAGGGAGCCAAGGAGCCTTGGCCCGAAATCCTTCCAGGGGTAAGGCTGAATTACAGCCGAGCTTTCGGGTGTTCCTTTGACAGATGGGTCCCAACCCCTTCCTTCGTTCGCCGGGGGCAGTGGGCAGCAGATTCACCGGCGTCTTCAGCTGGCGACATTGCCTTGGAGATCTACATGAAGTGCAGCTCTTTGGCACGGAGAGGACTCTGCTGTTTGCCAATTATGTTCCAAAAGGCATCTTCACAGTTTATGATGCCATGATTTGTGAATCAGAGCCGCTCATTCTCCGCATGGACTCACAATCTTGTTTGATTTCACATGACCCGATGAAGGGTTTTGACCATACGATCAAAGAGGTTTGTGCAGGGATGGGAGGCCTCGGCCTTGGATGTTCCATGGTGGGTGGCAAAATTCTTGCTTCCCTCGATTGTTCCTCTTTGGCATGTGAGCACCTCATGCGTAATCACCACAGTTTGATTCTTTGCAGAGACCTTTGTGATGATCATGCCAAACGAGAATTACATGAGCTTGGTGGTCCTGCATCCACCATTGTAGCAGGTTTTCCCTGCCAACCACATAGCACCCAAGGTGCTAGGCGTGGCTCCGCAGATCCCCGGCACCATGTCTTGACAGAGATCTTGCGCACAGCATACCTCCACATGACCAAATGTATGATTTTGGAATGTACTCCTCGGGCTCAGTTTGATTCAGGAGTTCGACAGGAATTGGAAGACCTTGCGAAGATCATGGGTTGGACTATCCATGACAATACTTTGGCATTGAGTCACCAATGGCCTTGCCGACGGCATCGATGGTGGATCATCATGTGCCCCAGCACTTGGGACTCCACCTCTCTTCTCAAATGGCCTTATGATGAAGACTTCCAATCAATCCAGACCATTTTGCCAGGTTGGGGCTTGTGGCCACTATCTCAGGAGGCTGAACTTCAACTGACGGTGGAAGAATTTCAGATGTATGCAGACCTCAGGCATGGCAATGACAAGCGTTTGCTCGAGCTGGACGACATTGGTCCTACGTTCTTGCACAGCTACGGCTGTATCTGCACTGCCTGCCCTTGCGGTTGCCGCAGTTTTCCTTTCTCCAGGCGATCATTGATGGACAAGGGTCTCCGTGGATGCTTTGTGCTTTCCCGGCTCCATGGACAGCCGAGATTTCTACATCCTTTGGAGCTCTTTGCTTTACATGGCGTACCACTCACGGTCACTCCATTGCCCAGTTTGCGTGCTGCACTATGTCTTGTTGGACAGTTGGCATCGCCACTTCAGGCACTTTGGGTCTTCTCATTTCTGTGCTCGATGGCATCCGGTCAGTCCGACACTCAGGCCACTGCTGCAGCATTGGAAATTCTCAACCAGGTGAAGCGGCAGATGGTACGTGATCACTATCATCTTTGGCGCCAATCTGATGAAGTTCCTCGACATCTCAACATCAGGATGCCGGATGGCGAGCACATCACGATTTTGGCATCAAGCTCAATTACGGTGGCACAACTCTTGCGAGCTGAAACATTCAAACTGGCAAGAGGTGAAATGCTTCATCTTTGTGATGGCACCCGCACACTGCCAGAAGATCAAGTGCTGCTCGAGCATGGTGCTTATGGACCATATTGCATCCAAATCACTCAAACTGTTGAGCCCCACACAGTACCATCACAGTATGTGGTCTTCATTGAGTACAGAAACGACTTCAAAGTTGCCTTGGTCTTTCCTGGCACTTTTCTCTTCCAAGTCTTGCAGCAAAATGGATTGACGGGCGTCACCCACTTGGAAGATGCAGATGGCAAGTTCTATGGGCTGGACTACAAGATTTGGGGCAGCTTGCGGCTCTTGGCCAAATTCTGCCCACCATCGACTGCCCCGACGATGGCATTTGGATCCTCTTTGGAGAAGGACACAGGCTTGACCGACCTGACGGTGTGGCATGCCCTTGTCAGCATCTGCAAGATCAGCCATGGCCCCTATGATGAACCTCCACTGATGATCACTCCATCACTGGCTGAAGCGCTGATTCTGGGCACAGCCACATCTTTCCAGTGCCATGGACTTCGTGCACTGTATCAAGAAAGCGATGGCCGAGTCTATTGCATCTTTGCGGCTCGCAACCATTGGGCTCTTCTTTGTGGCATCACTGAGCACAATGCTTTGACTTGGACTTACTTTGATGGACTTCACTCATCGGTCATGGATGAGGCACTGAGTTTGGCTTGGACTTTATGCTCAGTGCTTCACATGCCTTGCACTTCAGTGGATGCCTTCAGCATGCAGCCGCAGACTCTACCATTCACATGTGGCACGATTGCCATCATGCATCTTTGCCTCCTGATGGGTTTGGAAGGACACTTCTCTCCTCAAGATGAACAGCTCCTTCACCACGCCTTGGTTCGGCACCAAGAAGCCAAGAAGCTCTTCAGACCTCTTGGACGCCCAGCAGCAGACTTAGCCGACAAACTGGCTCCTTTCCTTGAAGAACGGGGAGTTCCGGCAGATGCTTCTCACCAGCGGGCTGCGGACGCGATCAAGACATTGGGGGCATCAGCAATCAATGAAGCTTTTCAGACAGCCAACCCATGGGCTACGCTGAAAAGCCTTGCTTCCAGACCAAGTACCAGATTCAGATGGGTCAAAGAACCAGAACTGAAAGCACATATTGCAGATCAAGCCCAGAAGAAGCACGGAGCTCACATCCCCAAAGCCAAGCAGAAGAAACAAGAGTCACAAGCGTCCAAACAGATCGCCCAGGTTGATCCCACGACTCTTCGACTCCTACCTGACACATTTGTCGACGGAGATGGAGATGAAGTTGCGCAAATACCTTTTCACGAGGTGGGTCAGGATGCGGTTGGTTTAGCCTTCTGCACATACCAAGAAGCCAAGCCATTCATTGAGGCGGCAGAGTTCATTAGCTCCACGGCATTGGGCCTGCTCATCAACACTGAGATCCCCATGGACTTCTGGGGAGATGCTGCCCTTGAACATCTCTGCTTCCCGGCACTTTGCACAGCCACAGATGAGCCTTTGCTATTGCACGGCACTTTGCTTCGCCTTAGTGATGGCGTCATACAACGCAAGACCCGGAAATCGCCACAGCTGAAGGTCATCGACACCAACATCTTGAAGATTCAGATTTTTCAAGATGAGATCGGCATGCCTTGGCAACAACTCACTGAAGGTCCAGTCCGTGCGCTACTGCAGATGGTGCCACAATTTCGACTTTGTCAAGGTCGTCAATGCGGGCATGATTGTGCTCTGTTCCACTCACCAGTGGGGGACAATTTGCAAGGGCTGATCATGGACATTTGGTCACGTGGCTTCTTCAACCAGCAGGGCAAGACCACGAAAGCTGATCATGCTTCCTACTTCCAAGTCATGTTCCGCATCCCTGCCGTAGCTTTGGACTTTTTGCTGCGGACAGGAGTCAAAGGAGTTTACATAGAACCAAGATCTTCACAGGTCAAAGGTCCACATGAAGACTACTGCGTGGTTTGGCTTGCTGGCCATGACAGGGACCAAGCCCTCCACAAGTTGCGAACATGCACACATGGCATCGCCATTGCACGGCTTCACCATCGCTATGGAGTGCGAGTCGCGAAGGCCCACGAGAAGAAAACGCATGAGGAGCTGCGTCCAGATGATGACTACGTGGACGTGGAGGTGAAGCAAGTCTACACCATCTTTCCAGTTCCTTTTGGGCTGCAGCGTGCTCAGATGGTGAAGCTCCTGTCAGCCTGGCAATGGCAGGCCAAACCGCTCCAGCCTACCAAAGGCAATCTTCAAGGCCAAGCATGGACGGTGGGGGCATCAACGCCACCCCCTAACAAGGTGATGCCAGGATTTGATCAAGACATCCTGATCACTCTGCAGAAGGACGTGACAGCTACTGCACAGCCTCAGACACTGGTTGCATCTAGCCGCACAAAGAAGTTCCTCAAGGAGGGCCACTCCATCAATGCCACAACAAGTTCAACCGATCCATGGCTTCAAGGACCAGATCCTTGGTCCAATTGGCACAAACCAGCAGGGGCTACTCCACAACCCAGCGCATCAGCTTCTTCTACCAGATTCTCTCAAATCCAGGACACCATTCGTGAAGAAATTCAAAAGCAAGTGCATCATGCACCTCCTGGATTGACTCCTTCCATCGACGTGCAGCGCATGGAAGTGAACATTGCAGAGCTTCAGGCCCAAGGATCTCAGTTTCAACAATGGTTTCAAGAAGCAGGCCAACGAATGAACAACACTGAAGCTCAGCTTGGGCAACTCAGACAAGTGGTTGAACAACAAGGTCAAGCAGTCGCGTCTCAAATCCACGAGATCCAGCAGGAAGTGGATAACAAGACGCAGATTCTTCAGAGCACCCTGCAGGGATC